CATTCACTTTACGAAAAATACAATTCTTTTGTATGCGTATTCAATTACTGCGAGTTTGTTTGGATTTAAAATTTCATAATATTTACATTGTAAACGATTCGGCAGTTTTTATTCTTATGCTAACTAATCATAAGATTGTTTTGAACATTTATAATCAAATTTTTATGTAAACAATTAAAGGAGCAGAATTGCTCATCCCCCATCTACCCTTGTACACGTTATTTCAGTATAGACACCAAAAACAATGAGGGGTTTCCTAATTTATTAAGTAAATCTGGGGATACATTTACGAATAAACACAAAATTTATTTCATTTGAATTTGTATACCAGTGTTGTTTTCCCTTTTGGTAATTTATTCCTTTTAGATAAAGGTTTAGATATAAGACACATCGACGTTGGCGGTAAGGAGTCTTATCAGGCGAAAATTAATTAACGCACGTGTTAGGAGATGGGGTGTTTTACGATGCGCGCTTTATTCCGGTATAAGTTTCTAATTGTGATTGGCGACGTTTTTGAAAATCCTGAAGGAGTATATCTCTCTGTGGAAATTGTGTTTCTTTAAATATTGGAATCAACGTGAACACGAGGCTGCTGGTTTCGTGACGGTAAAAGAGCGTGTTCATTTTTCCCGCTGTCAGCCATATTTATTTTGTTGAAGAGGCAGTTCATCGGTTTCGAAAGAAAGTGTGCGGAAGAAGTTAAACAATCTTAATAATAGATTACAGGTTGTCCTCAAATGGAATAGTAAAAAGTCTGCAGAAAGTGTTTTAAAACGGTCTGTCTGTATTCAGAAACAGTTAGTTCGAGTGTGAGTAAACAAAGTAGTTGTCTGCTTAGCGAAAACCTTTCTAAAAGGTACGTGTATAATCAAAAACCGAGCATCCAAGAAAATGTCTCATCGTACTTATCAAGATCCTGTTTAATAAAAAAAAGTGTGGCTGTCGTGTCTTTCATAAGTGCCCCTGTTTGTTTTGGATTCTACGCACCAAAATTAATAAGAAAAAGTGTTTTCCCGAGAAATTTTGGTGCAGTCGATTTTTGGTAAAAAAGGAAGGTTATACACTACCTTTTTTGAGGCCCTCAAAAAAAATTGTCTCAGGTCGACCCGGAAAAAAATTTTCTTATAGAATGTGGCCTGTAGAATCCATAATTTCAAACAGTTCCAAGATTGGGCTACTAGTTCAAAAGTTACAGCCCTTTTAATTTTCTTTCGAAATTGGTTTCTAGTCTATAACTTTTGATTGAGAAGTCTGATCGAAAAAGTACGAATTGTTTTGGATTCTACGCACCAAAATTAATAAGGAAAAGTGTTTTCCCGAGAAATTTTGGTGCAGTCGATTTTTGGTAAAAAAGGAAGGTTATACACTGCCTTTTTTTGAGCCCCGAAAAAAAAATTGTCTCAGATCGACACGGAAAAAAAATTTTCTTATAGAATGTGGCCTGTAGAATCCATAATTTCAAACAGTTCCAAGATTGGGCTACTAGTTCAAAAGTTACAGCCCTTTGAATTTTCTTTCGAAAATGGTTTCTAGTCTATAACTTTTGATTGAGAAGTCTGATCGAAAAAGTACGAATTGTTTTGGATTCTACGCACCAAAATTAATAAGAAAGTGTTTTCCCGAGAAATTTTGGTGCAGTCGATTTTTGGTAAAAAAGGAAGGTTATACACTGCCTTTTTTTGAGGCCCTCATAAAAAATTATCTCAGATCGACCCGGAAATTGGTTTCTAGTCTATAACTTTTGATTGAGAAGCTTGATCGAAAAAGTACGAATTGTTTTGGATTCTCTTTTGGATCCTCTTTTAACCTTGCTATACTTGTGGTCATAGGCACGTATAACAATCACATCACCTTCTTTTAGGCCTGTACTCATCCCATCTAAATCAGAATTTCGTGGAACGGAGCTGCAGACATTTTCTTTATATTGATTACTACCTGCATATCAAAATTTCCTTAGCAGAAAGTATAAACAAAGCGTCTTTATTTTCTGCGCATTTTAAGAACCTTATCAATTGGAAGGTAAGTTGTACGTACTAAATCCCACGCTCCCGCCCCTCGTTCGGTTCTCACTGCAGTTTTAAGACTATCCTCTAAGGGAGGTCCCAGACAAATCTACTCTGGAAGGTCTATTTTTTTGCAAATCTTTTATTATGGTATGTTTAATTCTGTTTCCAGATATTGAGAAAATGTCTTAGAAGTTCGAGGCACCATCATATATGACACCTTCACAAAATTTATTGCAGTAATAATCTGGCATATCGGAAGGCGTTTTTCTGTCAAATGTAAAAATATTAATCAACTTTGAGGTCATAGAGCAATAGAGAATTTTATACTGTACAAAAAAGGTAACCACACATTTTTTTAAAGAGTGTAGTCCTATAAAATGCCAAAAACTAAGAAAATCCACCTTTAGGGGTGGCTCACCCTTCCCTGCCAGAGGGGAGGTGGATGTTTCCCCTTCTAAAAACGTTTTGTTTTGGTCCAAATATAACTGTACAAAGTGGCTTGCTTTAATCATCAAACGCTACGACTAGATTCTCAACTGCGTTTTTCTGAAACTACTTTCGTCTCTAAAAAGGGTGAAGAAAATCTGATTTTCCTCTTTAGTGCGGAAAGTCAAAAACAATTGCTACGTTAATCTTAATCATGGCATGTTTCGTATCTAGATGGCTATATGTCAAACTTCATTATTACATACGATAATTTTGCAATTTTGATTGTAGTTTCAGAACAAATTATGTGTAAAACTTGAGAAGGAAAACTTTCTTCTCTAGTTGTACAAATAACTATTTCATGGTATATGAATATACATTCACTATTTCAAAATATTCACACAACTGTGAAAAGTTGAGTTGACATTTATATGCTCAAAATTTGATCTGTTCACTCCTTCACCCTTAAATTTACCAACGGCCAAACACACACTACTCTTTTTTGCACACCAATGCAGAGCGAGCCGAAGGCGAGTTCGGCATAACTGTGGCCCTCCCTTAGACTCGCTTCTCTACGTCCACGGTGGCAAACGACGTTTACCAACGGGCAAACACACACTACACTTTTTAGTAGATCAATGTCGAGCGAGCCGAAGGAGAGTTCGGCATGACTCTGGCCCTCCCTTAGACTCGTCTCTCTACGTCCACGTTAGAAAACGACGTTTACCAACGGCCAAAACATACTACACTTTTATGTACATCCATGCCGAGCGAGCCGAAGGCATACGACGTAAACCAACGGACAAGGGCCAAACAGACACTACACTTTTTCAATCATACATCCGACCTAATAAAAAACGAAGATCCCCCACGAAATAGGTTTAAGATTTTTTTAGCGTAACACAACGAAGTCTAGGTAACGCTTATTTGCTCGATTGTCGTCGTGTGTCTGTCTGTCTGTTTGTTCCATCGAGATCTCAGCCTCTGGGCCACCTAGAGACTTCGGGTTTTCGCTAAATGATAGCTGGTATGGTCTATATTTGCCCAAATTACAGTTGTGTTACGCGGCAACATCCACGACTGGGTTTTGAAAATTTCTTTAACTTTTTTGAAATACAAACTCATATAAACAATCTTTTTGAAGCTAAACAGAGTGTGTCACCAAGCAGCTTTGGATATCGGGTTATTGTAGCTTTTTTAACGATTGCAAAGTAACTTAAAAATTTATATAGAAGATAAACGTTAAATGAAACGGAGCTACTTTGGAGACGAGGTTCACAGTTTAAGACAGTACAAGATTTTGCTTTAAAAAACAAAAACACGTTAGACCCACATTGTGTAAAACATATGATCAATTGAACTAAGCGACATCTGATAAACAGACGTGGTTGAATCGAAATGGCGGATGACTCAAAACGACTACCCTTCCCCTAACAAAGTAAGGTGATCTAGGACTTACGATTCTTAACCCATGAACCTTCGGCTCGCTCGGCATAAATCAACCACCGACCGGAATTTCGGGGTTGATAAACGATTCCGGTCACAAAATGCGAAGCGCATGCCAAAAATTAAAAAAAAAACTACATTATCGAAAAAATTGGGTTGGTCAGCACAATGCAAAAATAAAGAAAGAAAAACAAGCAGCGTTGGGGAAATAAACAGGAACTGGAGCGTAAAAATCTTTATCAAGGTTAAAAAAAGAAAACAAATTTCCAAGATGCAGGGATGCCTTGCTTAAGGAGGGTCTAAAGGACATTGTAGTTGCTTGAATTTACTAATGACCTACTGTCAGGCGTTTTGAATATCACTCAAGCCCTGCCGCCCCCACTGTCTAGGGAAGGGAACGGAGTATTTGGCACTCGGTACATTTCCTAGCTCGGAAGCGCAACCAGTAGCCTCACGCTCTAGGAAACGTAAAAATGCCTCCCGTAGACTCTACGTACACGGCGGCAAACGACGTTTACCAACTACTAAACACACACTACACTTTTTCAATCATCCAAATAAAAAACCGCGATCTTTGCGAAAACTTAAAATAGTGATTCACTACCATTATATTCCACCCGAAATACTTGTTTAACTGCAAAAAAGGAAAGTTTACGCATAAAATTAAAACTGTTACACGAATCAAAAGGGGAGAACAATAGCAGAAAGTATTATCAAACAGTTTTATGAATATTAAAAGGGATGTAATGAATATTGAAAACTATAACTTGCTCAATTCTAATTAATCATAAGTATAGTTTTCTTGTGTACGGATTTTAAACAATAATTTTGTAAAGTGTTTTGTACAAATAATATGATAAATAATTAATATCGAGAAACCTTAGGTGACAGATTACCAATACTTTTGCTAATTTTCACAGCTTAAAGACTACAGAGGTTTAGTTTGTCATACTAAGTACGCAACATGCAGTTGGACGGAATATATCATTAGATAATAAAATCTAATGCCATATTTGGAAGAATCTGGTAACCCCGAAAAAAATTTGAGCAAAGAAGTCATCATTCAAGAGACTAAGTCAGGTCAGGCGAAATTAGCTCTAAACATTTAGCGACTAAAATTACCTGTACAATGTTCCAACAAAACCAATATCCAAAACGTTGTAATGAAGAATCTTGAGCAGGCCTTGGTTTTCATAACGGATGTTTCGACCTCTTGGTAACAAAAAACACTACCTACGATTTTTAAACACTTCACATTATATCGAATACGAAATTTGGCATCTGCATTTTTAAATCCATGGTAGTATCACTCAAGATCACATTTACAGCTATGAAAAGTACGGCTCGTATATTATTACAATCATAATTACGAAGAACTGCAACCACTTGTATTTTGAGTATATGTTTAAACAAGTTTTTCAGTCATAACAACAAAACAAATCGTTTAGTCCAACTTCGCCATTGCTGTTCAGCGGCGGCATTTTCTGTTCGCGTTTTTTAAATGAAGTGCACCGATAAAACAATAAGATGAGTTCACAATCATAAAGAAGCTGTAGGTACACACCCAAACTGCCGAACAGAGGCAACGTTATCTGCTGCCGAAAACAGAAGGGATGCTTAAAAGCAGAAATGGGTGGACACCTTAAAATTAGTTCATTGTCACAAAGCTTTCGCTTCGTCAATTACTAATCTCCCCAACAGAAGTCCTTTTGTATGCCTCTATACTTTTGACACATTAATTCGTATATGTCTTGAACATTAAACATGTATAGGTACACGGTTTAAATACTATATTAAGTCCTACTTGAAAATGCCCCACCGACGCGACGGAACAGTTCACAACGTGTTCTTAATAGTGTACATAAAGGGGGTGCATATATTCTTGGTAAAATCACTGCACAAAGCGATTGACGATTATTTCGATGTATTTGTTCACTATTACACCCACTCAAAATGTATATTATTCAGATTAGATTTTAACAGTCCTCTTCAGTGGCAGTCAATTCGCGTGTCACTGTTTTTGTCTTATATGCCAAAAAATTGGAAAAAAAACACTTTTTAGTTAAAACCAAAAATTATGAAAAAATTTAAATGCAACACGTCAATCAAATATCCTTACATTTGAAATGTTTTCGTAAATGAAATGCCAATAAAAATATCAACTCGATAATTACCGGACAAACTTGAAATGATTTCCGATGACAGATGACAATAACTTTGTTGAGTACAAGCTTTGTGACACGTGAGTGCACGCGTCTTGTATTTGGACCGTTGGCGTGGACTGGCTGGGCTGCACACCCGGAGAATGCGGGCGCTCGTGTTATCGACGCAAGCGTCACGACGCATCTACAGGATCATTATTTTAACAGAATTATTGCAAGATTTAAAAAAAACACTGAGTTATGTGTTTATTTCTTGCTTTTGACTTTATCATCTAACCCCAATAATGAACTTAAAATGTCATCACAAACGTAATGCCTACCAATTTATCACAAACGCTAACGTCGCGTTAATTATTAAAGGATCTACAAGACTTTATACTTGTACACAACTATTAAACGAAAAAGTAATCTAAAATACTGCCGCGTTTTAGAGAAAAAAAAGCGCCCTAATAAGGGTGGCGCAAAACTGGCAGTGTATATCTGGATATTACTATTTTTTGTCAATGATTACAGTTACTCGCGCGCAAAACGAGAAGAATATTAAACAATGCCCAGCAGGCACTTGAGGTTTTCATGTCGATTGAAATTTATTCTGCCTCGCTTTTATAAAGAATGATAAGGAAGTGTAGGTTATTACATTTTCTCATAATTTGAGAAAAAATACGCACGAAGACAAAGACACTGCGACTTAAAACGTGAACGATTTTTGCATAATCGCCCAATTGTTCGGTAAATATTCGAGCAACAAAGGCGGAAGTGCCTTATTTTCGTAAATAAATTGATTTTTGAGGTTAAAAATATAAGAATCACTCATTGCCTAGTTCTTCCCGCTTTTCCTCCAAAATCCCATTACCTCATCCACGTACGTTAGAAGTGACACGAATTTTAAGGGTGGTAAGAGTTTACATAAGTTTTTCGTGGGGATCTCCCGCGTTCGCAGTTTCCGTACAAAACAGCGGCAACTAACTGGGATCTCGGTTACAATGCGGATATTCCAAAATAGTAACGCAAGATAATATTGAGACGGCAAACTTAGGAGAGAGCTTTTAGCCTTAATCCTGATTAACAATTTTCTAAGGGAAAGGGTTCTAGTTGGAAATTTCCGATCTAATTTTTAGATCGTTCCTTCATCTTTCTATCTTTTCACGCTTTCGCACTGCGAACTGGCAGTGACGATGAAAGTTTTATTTAATTAAACTGCATGGGATGTACTGAGTACTGCATTTCACCGTTAATAAAAATTCTAACATCATACTGAACTGATGATATCTTACACATACATCTACAACTTCCTTTTAGGCGCAACTCAGGTTGGAAGACAGTTCCTTTAGCTTTTAAAAAATTGCTGAGCATCACTTTGAACTGCCACAGATCTGATCTAATCCAGAACGCAATTTCTTCGCATTTGTAACCACCCTTGATATACAGGGTTGGAAATTAGGGCATCGAGCGCAGTTCACGCAAGGTCACATAGTACCATCGTTCTTTTTCCTCAACACTAAACGGCTGCCTAATTTCTTGTTTGATGTGATGATCCCCTCAGACTCGTTATGATCCATGGTAATTTGGATTTTGCTTAAAATGTTGGCTAAGCATCTCCTGTAATTGTAGTAGCCACAATCCTCGTCCTTTTTGTAGGAAAACATATACTCATTAATTAGTTATTGCACAGTATGGGTTTTTGATGCTATGGGAAATTTAATTTTCTTTGTGCAATGTCATCTTTCTTATTTATAGGATATTTCTTTTGAATTTTAACCACAGATGTTTCCAGTAAAGACCAGCATATTGCATATTGTAAAAATCAGATGTGCGCATGCGCAAACTACACAATTACACAATGTCAACTTGCTTATTTATGGAGATATTTCTTTGAAACTTTAACCACAGACGCTTCTAGTAAAAACAAGCATATCGCATATTGTAAAAATCGACTTTCCTATTTATAGAAATTTTTTTGAAATTTTAAACAAAGAAAACCTTTTTTCATTTTCTAACTTTTTAATCGTATTCGGCTCATTTGAAGTGGTGGGTTGCATTATTCATTCCTTGTACCCTACCCGTTGAGTTGCTGGAAGCTCTGGCCAATTATCTCATTGCACTTCCCCCGGACACCAAAAATTATTGACTGATGATGACGTTAATCACCAAATGTTCGATCTCGTGGTCTCAAATACATATTATACACGCACTGTATTTCCTTTTGTGCGGGAAGAGGTTATCGTTAGAAAAAAAGCACTATCCCCCCTCCGGTTTAGGCTTCCTTGTTACATTACTTGTTTTGCGGTACAAGGTCGTAGTCTGGGAACGATAATTCTTGTACCATTTATTCAGAAACTGTAAAATTTTGAGGTTTCAATTAAATGAATTAGTGGGATTTTCTGTTGATAGAGACACGAAAAGATTTTAAATTAATTACAAATGATGATCCATCCCTGTACCATTTTTTCAGAACTTCAGTACAAAAATGAAAATATTTGAAAATATGTTTCAAAACTTATAAAAATGTTCAAGTTTAATTTTATAAGTAATCAAAAAGGTACTTTTGGATTCTGAATCTTATTTACCCTAATTCCAATTCCTCAAATTTCATCAAATTCGCTTGACTACTTTAGGAGATAGCGTTAGGATGGCAAACAAAAGAGCTGTCCTGCACTTACTTACCTTATTTCTAATGCATCTGAAATTTTATGGGAATACTTATAGTACGTAAAATTACGAAAAACTGTATTTTTACTTTCAGTTCATCAGAAACTAAATTTCAGCAAAATCTATCAAATATTTTCAAAAATAAACTTAATTCAATTAATGTAATTAATTGGTGATGTGTAGGTATGATGACAATGCAATTCAAAAGACGAAAAAGTGAGCGTTCAACAAAAAAAGCATCTGTCCTTATCTACATATAATGTTTTTTCGATTCTTGTTGAAAATACGTAGTTTGCAAAAATTATTCACAGGCGAATGGAATGCACAGATACGAGGGTTGTCCGTAAATTAAGGCCTCCAATGATTCTTTTACATAGTAAACATAACTTTATTGCAAAACCAATTACAAATTCCCTGCACCACTTCTTCAAAATAGACAGAAAGAGCAAGAGTTTAAATTATTTAGAAATTGGTTGACGATTCTTCGACCATTTCGTCAGAACTTGTAAAATTTCGAGTTTTTAATTTTAGCAAAGAGTAACTAATATTATTAAGTATGCTTTGATTTTAGGAAGATATTTGAAAAAACGTTGTAGAACTTTTTCTCCGCGAGCAAAATATTGTTCAAGATCTAGTATCTACCTCCACATCCTGCAAGTATTTCGGTCACGCTCAGGGCGATATCCCACTTGAAAAGCAAGACGATCAGAAAATCCAAGTAAACACGAAAATTTTTACAAGTTCTGACGAAGTGGTACAGGGGTCACAAATCAATTTCAAATCTTTCTTTCTCTATATCAACAAACAAATCCACCTTCCCTGGTAGGATTTAACGATGAACATTTACAGGTCCTGAACAAATGATACAGGAACTAATTAATTTAAAACCTTTCTGTCTCTCAATTATCTTCTTCATCGTTCGTTTGGGTACTTTGAACTATATAAAATTAAACTCTAAAATGTTTACCGAAAAATCAGTTCTTTAAACGATCCAGAATGACGCATAATGGTCGAGCACGTAATTTTTTCAGCAAGGGAAATCCTAATACACAACCTTGCACCATAAAAAACAAAATCACCCCTTAGTTATATCACCCGAAAATTCCAGGCCACGAACTTGCACCACAAAACAAGGTCAGTTCTTACGTAAGGGGGAAATATTCACCAAGGTCACGACTTTTTCCCCAGGGAAATCCCAGGTTACGACCTTGCACCTTGCCTCCTTAAATACGCAACCGGAAAATTCCTTGCACTATGGCCACGAGCAAAACCAGGAGTGGGGGGGGGCGGTAAAGGTGGCCCGTCGGGCAGGGGGTAATTGGAGATCTCTAGGCATGTAGATTTTCCTTAAACTCACTAAATGCTCAATATATTTTTCGCTAATCTGATTGTTGCAAACTCTCATACTAACGTATGTATTAGTTTTCCAGATATAAATCACCTCAGACTGTCGTTGAACACCCTCTATAGTAATAATTTTTAATTATGGATG